AACCTCAACTCACATCCATTCATGACTCCTGAATAATTTCTTCTTTTCCTTCATATTCTGTGAGACATCCTTTTTTCCCATACTTAAGTGTAAGCTAGACCCATTGGTTGCATCTTTTACCTATATAATTACTGTGAGATTTAGCATAATGTTTATGAAAGATACTTTTTAACAGCCATTGTGTAGCCTCATACTGATGTAGTGTCAGCAATGTACTATAAGCTCATCTATGCCTTTTCCCATTTCCTTTTGAGGAAATAAATCAATCACATGAAAAGGAATATAATATAAAGTTTAACTCAACATTCCTTCTCATTATTCCTTGTAATCTCCAATGTAGGCTTGGTCCTGGAGGCATCCCAACCTTTACAGTCTAGTCTAGGCATGGGCCCCAAGAAAAGTGATGCTCGGAAAGATACAAAGAATAGAAAGATTCTGCTGTGAACCAGTTCAAATGAAGTGATAGTTTTAATGAATTCACATAGAAAAGTAGAACAAAGAGAAGGCTCACTATCATTCTTCATTCTGGAAAAGAATGAAGGCATTGGATTTTAATTATATTACCTGAAAACTCTAGCAACAAATATATGATTCATTAGCTGACTCCGTAAGGACAAAATGATGCAAAGGAAAACCTGGGATCGGGAAAAGAGGTGCTCCTGTTCCTAAAATGTTCAATGTATTGAAGTAACTGGAAGTGCCACTGAGTGAAAGTAGAGTTTAAAGTGGCCCCTCCTCTTCTCATGTTCACCTTCCCTCCAGAATGCAGCTACCTAAATCAAATCATGTAACTTCCAGGCTTCAGGTATTTTAATGGGTTCCTTATGCACTTGAAAAGGAATCCCAAAATCTTCACAATGGCCTTAAGCGCTCTGGCTCTTGTTTGCATCTTGAGGCTTTGACAAAACTACCCTTTTTCACTGCTCTTCAGTATTATTACCCATCTCCCACTCACCTCCCAGCACCTATAAATCACTTCTCGTCTTAAGATATCTTCAATACACTTTTCCTGTGACTAGAATACTCTGTGTTTGGGTATGTGGAGAGATGGGGCCGTTTTGTTGACTCTTTAAACAGATAAGTCATTGCTACTCTGAAGATAATAGCTCAAATCCAAGCTCTTCAGAGGGTGTGATTTCCACATAGCTACCTATTTATTTCATACTACAGTCTGGACTGCCTACTGCATATTGTATGTCTTCTGTAGCATAATTGTCAATATGGTCAGGACCATCTGGCTTCCTCAATTTCCAGGAACTACCTAGTCTCAATTACATAGAAGGTAGGTCTATCATAAGCACCTACAGAAATTAATGAATGAATTAAAAAGTAACACTGAGGAAACAAGGCTTCTTGAACCCTCAAAGTAGTCTATAAACTCTTCTGTGTTATAAAGAGAATATCAAATTAACTATAAATTGGTGGAAGTTATATTTGTTTGGATAAAACAATCTGAGTGCTGTATGGATAGTACAGGAAAAACAGAAGAGGAGCTTAACCAGCCAGTCAGTGCGGTGATCCAGTAAAGAGGAACAAGTTCCTCTTATACCCCACTGGTCAAATGAATACCCATTGGTGTATTCACCTCAACTCCCCTACAAAAATAGTAGAAAGAATCTGGTTGATGGGGGACAGAGAAAGATGAATGTTTCAGAACAAAAATTAGAGATTCTTGAAACCACTTTTTGGGAAGTTTTGGTTTGAGGAATGTTAGAGAAATAGGGATGAAATGATCCAAGATAACTGCCCATATAGGTGATACTGAACACAGTCTCTTAAATTCTCCTGCTGAGAAAAAGCACTCACCAGAGTTTTACCAAATAAGCAGATTCTAGATTTCTTTATTAAAATTTCAAATTCCCCTGGTGATGCCTGTCACCATGAAATGTGAGAGATAATGTCATAGTACATTTTTCTATGACAAAGATCACATCACATAGAAATGAAAATTTTAGAGATATACAGAGGAGACAGAGGCAGGAAGATTTTTTTTTTTTTAAAAAGGAGAAGAATTTGCTCATGAAGGTCAGATGGACACTTCCTCTGAAATGACTAAAAACAACAAAGTGGGTTGGAACAGGAGGCAGTATATTTTGCTGGCCCCCAAATCTCCAAAGCACATATAAATTTTAAAAATTCAATCAAGAAGTTTAAGGACACTGAAAATTAAAGGAAGAAATGAGTTAATTCCATTTTAAAAAATAATATAATCACTGTCAAACAGCAGAAATTCTTTTATTTCTCCAGGAAAATAATACTGAAATTCTGGAGTGGAAATGAAGATGGTTGACAATGACTTTGTATGGACTGGTCTCCCGAGATAAATACCTTTATAACAATAAATAAACATAGAGTTCCTCCAATTTTACATTCAATGAACTAAAATCAGTATTGCTTTGTAGAATAATATCTCTTTTCCCCAGAATTAAATGTTTTGTGACTAAATATTTGGCAATTATTTAGGTAGTTAATCCTATAGTAACAAAAAGTAATATGATAGACAATATATTTAGAAAGTCTGCTAAATGTTGGTTTCTAGTATAATCCAACATTCTTTAATATGATGTAAGACTATTTTCACCCACAAAATTGAGGTTAAATATCCCTAGATCATATAGCATAATTTATCTTTATATGGGTAAGCTCATCCAATAGAAGGTTTAAATGTCTTCTTATGAGATGAAGAGAGATGAAGAGTAGTTTTTCTCTGCTACAGTTACTACTGAGCAAAGATCAAAAGAAATGGCTTCAAGGTGTAAAATGAGGACCATATGCCCAGGCTAGGAGAGGTCTATAATCCAGCCAGTTGTCAAACTGTCAGGTAGATTTTCACAGAGTCTGTCTTATCTCTCTCCTTGTGAAGTTAGGGACAGAGCTGAATCTTGATAGAATAAATTATGGTAAATTTCATCTAAAGGTACATCAATAAATTCTCTGGTAGAAACTGCTAAATGTTTTATGAAACTAATAAACCATCATTCTTATGTAATGACATTAAAAGCATGATTTAGATTTCTCTTCTTTCATTAAAAAATCTTATAAATCTTGATCATGTATACTCACTCTACTCAATTAAAGTGTATTAAAGATTGGACCCTAAGATCTGAACTATAAAATACAGATTAAAAACACCATTATATTGGTCATGGAAATAACTTTTGGATATAGCCACCAAAGCAAAACCAACAAGTGAAAAGCAAATAAGTGTAATTACAGTAAACTAAAAAATTTTGCACAACAAGGAAATCATTCAAGAATATGAAAAAGAAGCTACAAAGTAGAGGATCTCTATATACCATACATTTAATAGTAGGTTAATATCCACAGTGTATGAGAAACTCATGTGCTAACAACAAACACCCAACAAATGACTTAATAAAGCATAGACAAAAGAGTTAAACAGCCTTCTTATACAAAGGGACCTGGAAAAGTTGTAATTGATATGTAAACAATTCACCTACCATTGAGGCATGCAAATAAAAACCACTATAAAATCACCTCACATCTGGTTAGGTGGATATAATTTAAAATACAATGATTTTAAGAGTTATAGAAAGTTGGAATAAAAAGTCATATTGTTGGTGGTTATCTAAATTCATATAACATGGAATTTACTAAAAAAATTAAAGGTCAAGTTAAAATATTATCCATTACTTCCAATTCTGGGTGGATAGCCAGAGCAATAAATTAATTATCTTGCAAAAACATCTTTCCTATTGCAGCAGCAGCCATGAGGTAAAATAAAACAAATGCCAGCAATAACCGATGAAGAAAACGTGATATCTCATGCACGTTCTTACATTCTTACTATGTATCAATATATCTACTATTTGTGACAATGGGAATGAAACTTGAGGACTTTATTTTAAGTGATAATCCATGGATAAAGAACTATGGTATGAAACCACACATTGAATCTAAAACTGGTTTGACACAGAGACAGAGAGAATAGAGTTTTTACCCTGAATAGGAGTTGAAGAAAACACTTGCAATATAAAACAGCTGTGAGACTTAATGCACATTATGATGATTGTGGGAAATAGTTCATAAGCACTAGGATGGTGGCCTAGAAAGACCTTAAAGCATCTCATTGTAAAGTTAACTAATTGATCTGAAAGTTAAACATCTAAAATCATGACACATTACTTAGTTTGATCATGTTAACTCATTTTACAATACATATCTACAAAACCACATTAAGAGCTTGAATATATTCAAGAAAAAATTGAGTGAAGTATTAATATATATTGGCCCTCATTTCCCCATTGGCTGCATTTTCTAAAATGGTGTAATTAGTGCTTGTATTTTAAATTTTAATTGTTTCTTCATTACAGATTTGGGGACATCCTTTTTATTCCTTAAAACATCTCATCAATTATTTACATAAAATTTTGGCCAAACCTCATAATTAATTGAACCTTGTATATTTACATATTTACATACATACATACATACATACATACACACACACACACACACACACACACACACACACACAATCACACACTCACACTGTGCCTGATCTTTTGGTTTTCTTTGTGTTTTTTTTTTTTTTTTGCTTGTTTTCAAAGTCTAGCATAACTCAGTCTGGCTTGCTCTCATTATTTGTCTGAGAATGACCTTGGTTTCCTCCACCTCTCAAAGGCTGGATTTACAGGTGTGCACCATCAGACTGTGTTCAACTACTGGAAGATATCTTTAATTAAACAGCTTACCACCACCACCCCCTTTTCCTTAAGCAATGGAGAGTAAAATAAGCCATATGTTCAGTTTTCATATTTCCCAGACTTAAGCTTGAAGATATGGACACTTCTAGCTGAGAATCATACTAATATTTTCGTCATTATTCTAAAGTCACATGGGAATTCCTCCAAATTAAAGAAAGACAAGCAAACAGTATCACTGCAGTTCTGAGAACTACAGTTTCTGAGAACACAGTTGGAGGGGGAATGGAAACATGCGTCAGGAAGGGAGTGCAGCATGCATCTCCAGTGTGTCACCTTGCTGCTGCACTGGTGATAATCTTCAGGCTGCCTGGATTCCGGATGAGCTTGTCCAGAATGCTGACGATCTGCTCAAACTTGGGTCTGTTGTTCCTGTCTTTCTGCCAGCAGTCCAGCATCAGCTGATACAAGGCAGCTGGGCAGTCCATGGGAGGTGGGAGGCGGTAGCCCTCGTCCACTGCTTTAATTACCTATGTGAGAAGCAGAGTTTCCGGGGACAGAAGGCAAGACATTTATTGGACTTTTTCGTTTTCACTGGTAGGAATATTTTAAAGTTCAATAAGATATTTTTTTAAATGCCCAAGAAGATAATAGCTGGCAGTATACATTATTCAAGCCTGAAAATACCATATAAAGGAAAATTAAATGAGAGATAGTAATGTGTGGAAAGATCTTTTGCAAATCAAGGAAAAATAAAGGTTCTATAGTATATAAAATTTGTTGCTGTGAAACATGATTATTTTATTATAACACTTATTATATAAGTCCTGTATTGATTTAGGCAAAATAAATCGGGATACAATACCACAGTTCAGAATTTTGCAAACCATAGAAGTTCTCTTTTGCAAACTCCTATGGTCAGTGCCTTACTATTTTAAAATACATAAAGCAATAATTTTAATAATGCAAATCATAAACATATAGAAGAGTTCTTAGCATTCAAAGTCCTTTCGTCTCAATGACTGAGTTTCTGAATCATCCACCAGGTTGGGGGGAAGGGGTTTCTAAATACTGAAATTTTATTCATAACAAGTTCGTAGGCCATGCTAAAGTTGCTGGCGCAGGAACTATGCTTCTATCTGCTGTGATACAACATCAATTTGGAGAAAATACATGGAAAATTTAGTGTAATCTTCCTGTATTTATTGTATTTAAAAATAGTGGGCACTTTTGAGGAAGTGCAATATTATTTATATATCAAGTACAGGCTATCTCATAAGCAGTGACTTGAAATGGACCAGCATCATCTCAGTTTGCTTATTTTTGGTTCTTGCTCATTATTTTTAGTAAGCATAAAGAAATGTGTTAATTCCTTGTGCTAATCCCATGTGATAATAGTACCTTCTTTCTAAATGGTAGCAACATGTAATAAATTCAAACACAATTTCTTTTTACAAACCCCTCATATTATAGGTATAACAGAATGTCAATGATTGTTTCTGCCAGCCTTACTCAATTTTTGTGATTAAATTCACGTGCAAGCCTAGAGTATTATTAGAAACAATGTGATAGAGATTATTAATTTTGTCTTTTTGGAACACTAAATTTAAAAAAAGGAAAATACTGGAGCAGTTGTAAAAATTTAATCAAGAAATTATGGTAGGCATATCTTAATAATGTTAAGTAGAAAAAATTCTGGCTAAAATACTGTTAATGTTTTATGATGTGCCTGTATGCACACATGAGCACACATATACACACATCGTGTTATTAAGTTCTTATTCAAAATATTCCTTTTCATTCCATTGTTAAATCCCTGCTTGAGGGAAACAAGTAAATCTACAAAAACAACTCAATTAATACCCTTGCAAGATGGAAGAATAGTTTTTTTTTTTTTCATGTAAATATTCAGCTTCGATGTCACTAAATAGGCACCACCTGGCTTCATTAAGCTCCACTTCCTTGCACAGTTTGATGTTTTAATCTCAACTCATAACTCAAAAAGTACAAACATGTACTTACATCCTGATTGGACATCTCCCAATATGGTCTTTCTCCGTAAGACATTACTTCCCAGAGAACAATCCCATAACTCCACACATCGCTGGCTGATGTGAACTTGCGGTAGGCAATTGCTTCTGGTGATGTCCACCGTATTGGTATCTTCCCTCCCTTGGGATATAAAAATCACATGTACAATGAATAAATAATATAATATATTATGTGCATAATATACTCTAAAATAAATCATAATTTTTCAGAGTATCTGTTCTGAAGGAGAATATACGATTCTGCTAAAATATACTAATGTTATGTTTTTTCCATATTTAGTTTATATATTTTTCTTGTCAATCCCATACATATATAAAGGGAACTATGCATTATGCTGGCTTGCCCCTGCCCCTGGCAGAATGTACTTGGGCAGTCGTGGCTCAGCCCAGGTGCAAAGGAAACCTTAAAAAGAAAAACCTCTGCCCACTTATGCTCTCTTTTCTACTCACTCTTTCCCACTCTTTTTTGGTTCTTCTCTTTCCTGTCTCTCTCTTCTCTTCTGTCCTCTCTCTGTGTCTGTGTCTCTTTACTTCTTTTCTGTTTCCTTCTCCCTGTTTCCCTTTCTAATAAAACTTTTCATTTAGCTCTGTCTGCCCTGCATGTTTGTCTCTCTGTCGGTCACCCTCGCCTGCCATGGAATCCACCAAGGTTCCCCCTCAAGCTTTATCTTAGCAAACTGTGATTTCAGGAGTCTCCTACTCTAATATCCTTCCCAAGCATCTTAACCTTCATCCTCCACATAATACCTTTCCAAACATCTATGTCCCTTTTCTCTTGAGATCTACTGAGTTTAACAAAGATGGTATTTGTGACCATGGGTTTAGAACTATGCATGTAAGCCTGGAGGGCAACTTATTTTGCACATAGCTAAAGATAACTCTTCTGCCAGAAGCCATTAGCAGCCAATACCTCAGCAGAGTAATAGGTTCAATGAGCATTTTGCGAGCCCTGATGGAAAACATCTTTAGAACAAGATTAATCCCTAAATATATCAGAACACTGAAATCATGAAAGAAATTGTAAGTTGCCTAATATCTACAGCTCAAGTCATTCCCCTTAGAATTGAAAGAAATCACAAATCAAACTTTACTGATTTGCCAAGAAATATTAGTTCAAAAATATTCTGGTGGAGGCTTGTTAATAATTCAACTTTCTATCATTGGCAGATTTGTTTTATGCATTCACAAAAATAATGTATCTGATCCTCGGTAGAGTGATCCATAAGCATCCTGTCCTTTTCTCTCATTCAACTAACTTCCAGTAGGTAACTGGCTAAGATACCTGTAATGTTACTTAAATTCCTTAGGTATTACACAACTGAAATTTAGCAATTTTTCCTCCCTTCCCATGTGGGGCTGTGTCACATCACTCTGCCTTTAAATGAACACAGAAGAAACTGATGCTGAGCATATTTAATTAAAACCACAAACTGCAGAAGAGGATGAAAACTCATAAAATTACTGTGGGATTAATAGGAATAAATGAGTATATCATTACAAATTGTTCAATTAAAGCCTTGTAGCTTTAAACTCTTTTTATTCATCACTAGTGCAAAGATGAAGTAGAACTAGTATAATGAACTAGTAAAATGTCCATTGATATAAATAAAAGAAAATATAGTGTTCCCAAACTATCATTTGAAATCACAAGCCCGTGAAAGCTGAATATGCAATAAAAGCAAAGGTTATGAGCACAGCATATGTGGGTCCCTGCCGACCACACAGAATTGTTGCTTATATTTAGATTCATTGTCTTGGCAAGAGATCAGGCATTCAAGAAAAGCTTGCTTATCTTAGTTGAATTCCCTTTCTCCTGAGTTCATGCTGCCTTAAATTCACACTGTTGTCTTTTTCTCCAGAAACCTTCTCCCCACTCACTGTTTTCTGTCACTAGATTCTCCCTCCAGTGTTTGAAAGTATATAGCATATTATGATTGTGTACACTCAACCGTGCAGAACTTCTACCTTTGGTCTATCTGCAGCCCAGCACCTATTGGTTAACCATTTGCCTTCATTCCTCTACTTTACAGTCTCCTCCCTTCTTGGTAACCACCATTCCATATTAGTTTCTAAGAGATCAGCTTTATTAGAATATACGCAAACCACTTAGCATAGCATTCTCCAGGCCCATCAGTGTAGATAAAAAGGGTAGGATTTTTATCATTTCCAGAGAATAATAGTCCACTGTGCACCCAGGCTGGCATTTTTTCCCCTGCATTCCATGATGTACATGTACTTGGTGACACTGAAGAACATGGCTGTCTTCTCACTCTTACTCCTT